CAATATGTGTACTACTGTTTCATGAGAAACTATTTGTTCTGTAAGCCTTCACCTGAATTAAAAAAAAAAAAAAAAAAAAAAAAAAGGTTTTCATCAAGTCCCTTCCCCTGCTCAAAAATTCTTAACTGCTACAAAATCAAGTTCCAACCCTGCTCCCATGTGATGCTCTTATTTTGTAAATATATTTCCCAAGATGCTGCACCATAAACACCACTCTTGACTGTCTACTGGAAAGAAAAAGGGTTTGGGAATCAGTGACTCCAAGTCCAATCACTTCCAGTTACTAGTTGGATGACCACGGGTAAATTACTTAATCTCTGAGCCTAGATGAAATGGCCACAACCATTCCTGTTGCTATATATTTTGTTTCATTTTTTTCTCCTATCTTTTCTTTCTTCTGACATTATTTGTTATGTCATTATGCCCCTAGTTTTAATCTATTGCCCAATTTTATAATCAGTAGTCTTGCCTAAGGGCGGATCATCTGTTTTATGGAATAAAGTGCACTAACTTTAGTGTCTATTGCACTGACTTTATGAAAAGTATCTGGTACACAGAGGACTTTTTTTTTTGTTTTTTAAATCGTGTCTAGATTTAAAGCAAGCACCAGATGGCTGAAATTACTGAAGGTCTGGCTCCTAGACCAATGGGCCATGAATGCACTCTGGCCTACCAATATCTGTATTTGATATGTTCCAATACTCTACCTAGAATAATGAGGGAGAGTAAAGAGATGATCTTTCGGGATTTCTGAGCAAACCTTAAAAGAGCAAGAAGAGACATGTGATTGAAGAAGCCAGCAAATGGATCTGGAGTGTAAGTGAGAGGCTTCAAGAAGAAGTAGCATAGAGACAATAGAGCTCAATTTGCTCTGATTTCTCTCACGTCGAATTCTGTTCTGACTTATCTATTTCCACTCAGCCTGGAAAATACCCATTTTATGCCAACTGTACTCCAAATAAGTCCTTTTATTTATGATAGAATTTTAAAGCTTATTACCTATTGCTGTGATCCAAAATATGAAGTAGTATTAAGACAATGATAGAGCAAGAAAAGCATTTTTATTTAACCTCTAATTGCTTCCTTTCTTACTATATTTATTAGGGATAAAGTATATTCTTAGGGCTTAAAACACCTTGTAGTTCTACAGTGCTTAAAAAATTTCTACATGGCTCTTCTGTGCATGGATAGACCATTCTAGAAATTCTGCTATTACTATTATTGTCCCTGAATGCAATGCTCAAAGATAATATACAGTTTTAAGGTCCCTAAATTCATATATGCCATTGACTCTTCCCATGCTCCCTCTGCATGCAGCCCCTATACAGCTGTAGCCCTGGAAATGAGTTCTTGCCTATATTCTAAAGAAGAAAAGACAGGAAGAGGTCAGACCCACAAAGAAACCTCTTCCTAGGATTCTTCTTGGCAGATTGGTAAACTTTCAAAGCTCCTTTTGAGTATGCCTAATAGCTAACAACCTCCAATTTAAAGTTGATATTTCTTAGGGCATTACCTACCTTGTTATACACATGACAATTGCTACTATAATGGCGATCTGTACAGCTCCAATAATTGCTGCAATAAGAACATGAGTGAGCTTTTGCCTACTTGGCACTACATAGAGAATACTAAAGTCTGTCTTTTCACAGTGCTGTCCAGTGTAACCAGATTCACATCTGAAAGGGAAAAAAAGTATCCAAATAAGAATTACAAATTTCAATAATTTTAGGCTTTTAAATTAAAAGATACAAAAGAATGACAAAATTTAAACAGGAACAGAAAATCAGGCACTCTCCCGCCATTTGAAAAACAAACTGCCATTTGTGATTTCCTTACACTCTTTTTGATATGCCTATCTTATCTAGTACTTTTTTTACCTGTGATTCTATCACATTAATTTTTAAGTTGCTAAATAGTCCTTATTAGCCTTATTTTTAAATGGATACATAACATTCCGTCCAGCAGCTGTAATACAATTACCTTATCTATTCCCCACTCTAAGACGTATAAGTTATTTTCAATTTTTCTCAATTATTAAGTGTTGTGAACATCTTGGTGACTGTGCACTTTTCTGCATTTAATGTTGTTTCTTAGGCTAGATATCTGACTATGGGATGACTGAATAAATAGGTATAAACACTTACAGTTCTCTGAACATACTGCCAAATATATTCAAGATACTTTTCAGTGTACAAAATATAATCATTTCAGAGGCAGAGTGAGAAGAAAATAAGTTATTAATGAAAGAAACTGAGCAAAGCAGTCAAGTAGGTACTAATCTTAGAAATTATCTGAATTCCAACTAAAAGTAAATAAATAAAAAGGCTGCAACGTCAGCTGATGGTAATAAATTGACAGGGCAAACATTTATGATATTTAACAGAAAATACATATTTTTCAGCTGAAGGAAGTGAAATGTACTAGTCAAGCTTCAGTTGGAATTGATTAATAAAACTTTTGAAGTACAGGGATACTGTATGTATTAATGTTCCACGTCTCATTATAAAAAGAATTTGAGGTGGCTTACAATAACACACAGAAAACAATAACAACAAAAAGAAACCTGGAAGAAGAGAAATGAGGGGAAGCCAGAGGTGAGATGAGTCCACCAACCCAGACCATGAGGTTCCTAGACACCTGCCAATAGGCGTATTGAGCTCTAAGCTTCCTAGCAGACAAGCAAGGGAAGTAGTAAGGTAGATACACAGATCAATTGGATAGAATTGAGTCCAGAAATAATCCCATATATCTATGGTCAACTGATTTTAAACAAGGGTGCCAAGACATTCAATAGGGAAAGAATAGTCTCTTCAATAAATGGTGCTGGGACAACTCAATCTCCACATGGAAAAGGATTAAGTTGGACCCCTACATCACAACATATACAAAAATTAACTCAAAATGGATCACAGATCTAAATGTAAGAGCTCATATTATAAAATTCTTCGAAGAATTACACGGGTATATCTTCATAACCTTAAATTAGAAAATGGTTTCTTAAATATCACACCAAAAAGACAAGCAACAAAAGAAAAAGATAGATAAATTGGACATCATGAAAATTTAAAACTTTTGTGCTTCAAAATACACTATCAAGAAAGTGAAAAGACAACCCACAGAATGGGAGAACGATTTTGCAAATCATATACATAAGGGACTTCTATCTAGAATATATAAAGAACTATTACAACTCAATAATAAAAATAAAAAAAAAAATTTTAATGGACAAAGGACCTGAATAGACATTTTCCCAAAGTTATACAAATGGCCAATAAATCCATGAAAAGACATTCAACATCATTAGTCATCAGGGAAATGCAGATCAAAACCACAGTGAGATACTACTTCATAATCACTAAGATAGCCAGAGTCAAAAAGTTAGGTAACAATAAGTGCTGACAAGAATATGGAGAAACTGAACCCCACACAGGCTGCTGGAGAGAATACTGTTGTTAGCAAAACAAACAGTCCTTGACCTAATGGAGTAGTGTAGCCACTTTGGTAAAGTCTGGCAGTTCCTCAAAAAGTTAAACACAGAGCTGCCATTTGACACAGCAATTCCATTCCTAGATATCTACCCAACCCAAGAGAAATGATAACATATGTCCACACACAAAATTGTACATGAATGTTCATAGCAGCATTACTTATAATAGCTAAAACAACCCAAATGTTTGTTCATCAACTAAAATCCTGACACATTCTACATGGATGAACCTGAAAAATACTACGCTAAGTCAAAGAAGCCAGTACCAAAAGACCGCATATTATATGATTCCATTATTACAACAAGTCCAGAACAGGCAACTCTATAGAGTCAGAAACAAATTAGGCATATTCCAATTACCTAGAGCTAGGGAGGATGGGGTCACTGAGGCATGATAGCTAAAGGGTAGAAGAGTTTCTTCTTGGGGTAATTAAATATTCTAAAATGGATTGTGGTAATGTTTGTGCAACTCCATGAATATACTAAAAACCACTGAATTGTGAAGAAAGTAGTATGATAGTTAACACAAAATACAATCTCCATAAAATAAAATCAAACCAGTTGTTCAGAAGAAGTTACTGTTTTACTACTCTTATTACACCCAAGGGAACTTTTGTTGGTCCTCATTTAAAAAGAGCACTATCTGATGTACGAACATCATCCTCAACAAAAGAGCTGCAATAAATTCAATAACAAAGTCTCATAGGATTTTTTAAATAATGTCCTCCATGGTAGGTTAATGGCCAAAACTCAAAGCTCAGTAAAATAAAAATAGTTCCATAGGGATCTCTAACAATATCCCAGACATGCAGCTCTCTCATGATTTAGCTTAATGCAAAGATTAAAATCAGAATATCAAGAAGAATGTACAGGCCATATATTGTTCAAACAATCCTACCCTGGATATTATTTCCTGCAAACTGCCTTTTTGATTATACTGTCCAAATACCTCAAGTATTAACCTTCTACATTACGGATCAAAGGCAGATCCAGGTATTTGATCCTCCACCATCTACTTCTTTCATCCCACACATCCTGCACACATAATCTCATTCACGCAGCCATTTAACACATGTTTAATGAGTACCTGCTATGTGCCAGGTACTGTAGTGGGTGTTTGGGATATATCAGTGAACAAAACAGATAAAGATTCCTGGCCTGCTTACCCTCTGCACTCTTCACCCTACCTGGAACACTTCTCACTGCGGTCTTCTCCTAACTTCCAAGAAGCATTTCCAACCTGATCCTACCACTCCTTCCACCTCCAACAATGTCCCCTACTCCTCTTAAGGTTGAAGTACCTTTTGTGAAGCCCCAAATCACCTCATATATATCTATGTATGACATTTATCATATTACATTTAAATTAGTATTTGTCCGTCTCCTCTGAGCATACACTTTTTGAAAGCAAGATCCCTGTATTCCTGTCCAACACAACACATTCAATCTATTTTTGAGATGGTATCTAAATTCAGGTGGGATATACTCAAGGTTGTACTTTGACTCTCGTGGACTTGTTCTAATTTTCTTCAGTTTCAACTTGAACTTGCATATGAGCAATTGATGGTCTGTTCTGCAGTTAGCCCCGGCCTTGTTCTGACTGATGATATTGAGCTTTTCCATCATCTCTTTCCACAGATGTAGTCGATTTGATTCCTGTGTATTCCATCTTTCGAGGTCCATGTGTATAGTTGCTGTTTATGTTGATGAAAAATGGCACTTGCAATGAAGACGTCATAGGTCTTGCAAAATTCTATCATGCGATCTCCGGCATCACTTCTATCACCAAGGCCATATTTTCCAACTACCGATTCTTCTTGTTTCCAAATTTCGCATTCCAATCACCAGTAATTATCCATGCATCCTGACTGCATGTTCTATCAATTTCAGACTGCAGAAGCTGGTAAAAATCTTCAATTTCTTCATCTTTGGCCTCAGTGGTTGGTACGTAAATTTGAGTAATAGTCGTATTAACTGATCTTCCTTGTAGGCGTATGGATACTATCCTATCACTGACAGCGTTGTACTTCTGCATAGACCTTGAAATGTTCTTTTTGATGATGAATGCAACACCATTCCTCTCAAGCTGTCATTCCCTGCATAGTAGACCATATGACTGTCTCAATGAAAATGACCAATACCAGTCCATTTCAGCTCACTAATGCCTAGGATATCAATGTTTATGTGTTCTATTTCATTTTTGATGATTTCCAATTTTCCTAGATTTATACTTCATATATTCCATGTTCTGATTATTAATGGATTTTTGCAGCTGTTTCTTCAAATTCTGAGTCATGCCACATCAGCAAATGAAGGTCCCAAAAGCTTGACTCCCTCCATGTCATTAAGGTTGACTCTACTTTGAGAGGACAGCTCTTCCCCAGTTGTCTTCTGAGTGCCTTCCAACTTGGAGGACTCATCTTCCAGCACTGTATCAGACAATGTTCTGCTGCCATTTGTACGGTTTTCACTGGCTAATTCTTTTCAGAAGTAGACCGCCGGGTCCTTCTTCCTAGTCTGTCTTAGTCTGGAAGCTCACTTGAAACTTGTTCACCATGGATAAACCCTGCTGGTATCTGAATACCGGTGGTATAGCTTCCAGCATCACAGCAACACACAGGCAACCACAGTACGACAAACTGACAGACATGTTTTGGCACATAGTAAGTACTAAATAATCTTGAAAGAATTAAACAAATTGAAAGTGGAATAATGCTTGATTTTAACCTAATAAAAAGTCTATGGCTAAAGGTTGTTCATCCTCTGCGTATTTACTGCTACTCAAACACAAGCACCTATCAGCAGAAGTGCACATGATACGATGACCTGTTTTTTGCAGACACTGTAAAAAAATACTCAGGCAAAAGAAAAAGATCAACTACTTTTTAGGAGTTCTAAGTGTGCAGAAAATATATGCTTTAGCACTAAAGAAATTTCTCTGGTCTAGAAAAGAGGGAAAAGTCAATAATCATTACATATCATTCAACAAATATTTATTGAGGACATACTGTTCTATGCTAGTAACTGGGAAGACAGTTGTCAGCAGAACCAACAGTCCTTGACCTAATGGAGCATACAGTCTAAAAATATCAATTGGTATTTATTAAATATGTATTATGCACCAGTTTTATGCTAAGCATTTTACATATACACTTAACTTTAGCTCATTTAATTTTAACAACCCTATAGTTTAAAAAAATAAAAAGCTAGTTGCCATCCAGTTGGTTCTGACTCATGGCGACCCCATGTGTGTCAGAGTAGAACTGTGCTCCAGGTTGTTTTCAGTGGCTGACTTTTAGGAAGGAGATCACCAGATCTTTCTTCCAAGGTACTGCTGAGTGGATTCAAACCTTCAACTTGTAGGTTAGCAGCCAAGTGCGTTAACCATTTATTCCACCAGGGTCCTGTGATAAGTACTATTATTACAATTTTAAAGGTGCAGAAAATGAGGTTTAGGAATATTAAGTAACTTGCCCAATGACAGACAGCCAATAACTGGCCAAGCAGGTGTATCTGATTCTAAAACCTGTAACCACTATACCAAGTCAATCCTCTTACCATCAGTTAGTAAAGTACTATCCTCTCCTAGCAGTCCCTGGTATTACATCATTATCACATCATTCTCTCTCATCCTCACTTAGGTATCATGAAAGATGCCCTATCCTAAGAAGACAACATGATCTGAACTTCTACCAAGATATGCATGCCACTGTGGGACAACTATAAGGAATCTACTGTATGATATTGTTTTAAAACTGACCTGTTCTCTTCTGTATATCTGTATTTTTAAATGTTCAGGAAAAAAAAGTAAATAAGGGTCTAGCACCTTCAAAGACAAGGAGTACATTCAACCAGAAAAAGCCAAAAGCTCAACAAAGAATTATTCAACCATTAACAGTGTACAGCGTTTTGCTACGTTTTTTAAACAAGAGGGAGGAAGAAAATCGGCACCAGGGAGCTAAAGCAGTAGAGTGAAATCAGAAAGCCTGGTTTCCAACACTTTTCTTTTTCTGATTGGAAAGAAAGATTCAATGACTCCCATATAAACAGAACAAAAGTGTAATATTTCTCCATGTTTTGACAGTTTAACTAGGAAAGGAAAAAAAGGATTCAGGCCAAACTCCAAGAGGCAGGAGTGAGCAGAATGATAGCAGTCTCCCCTTGTCTCAGGAGACATTACCTGGCTAACTAGACCAACCCCAGAAGCTGGAGGTTGAGCTCCTCCTAGCAGCAGCAACAGCAAGAAGAGGGATTAGTAGACAGACACAGTAGCAAGAAGCACTGTGCTAAGACGAAAGAGCTTTAGGTCGAGAGTCAGGAAATCTGGGGTCTAGTTTGTTCCATCTCTATTTCTAACTTGCTGCTAACCTTGAACAAGGCACTTAACCTCTCTGGAACTTGGATAGGTGAAGATTTGTGACCTTTCCCATCCCTTATCTCAAATCACACTTGGTTCTAGATTATCATCACCCTTCTTTTAGAAATCTAGTTTGTCATTTATTTTATTTCATCGAAATGTTCTCTGTTCTTAATCCATTCTTTAGCCACTGTGAACCACCTTGTGACAGATGGCCAAAAAACCAAGAGTGCTATAATATGGCATATTTATGTTTCACTAAAAATAACATAACATTATATAAAAAAAAATTTAAACCCATAATCTCAAAACCCTAATATAACACCTGTTTTTGTGTTTGCGTATTATTTGCCGGATCTTTGCAAATGATGCTGCTTATGTATTTTTTACTTCTCTATGCAAATATACAATGCTTTTTAATAATATTTGGTCCATATTTCATTGCCTTTTTTGGGGCAGTAACTGTTTAACAGGAAAATGTCTCACTACTGACCTGGAGGTACTGACTTACCTACAAGAAGCCTTCTGAGTAGAATAGATGAATTCACATTTTCCATGGATGCAGTAACTGTTGAGATTTTCAGGGCAAGGCATGTGGTTTCCAATATAAACATCTTCTCTTTGATCACTAGCATCTTAAAAGAACATAGACCAGGTCACTAAATAGTGAAAAGCAAATAGAAAAACATGGACTTTTTCAAAGGTCCTGAAGCAGCAAATAAATTTATTCCTGGTCAACTACCTGTCGGGTAATGTGAAAGGAAATTTATTAGCTAGGAGGTTGGATAAGATCCAAGGTCTCTTCCAATTCCCATTATTCCACAAACACAGCAGATTTAGATTGAAAGCATTTAAAAGCATCCAAAACATTTAAAAATAATTACTTGCAGAATCTGACCACTGTGAGCTGCTGTTTAAAAATAATCTGCCAAAGACAACTAAACTTTGTGAAATAAATAAATCCTAGGTCTAGAAGAAAGACTACCTCTGTGGCAGAAGATGGCATATATAGCATTAGCTGTTGGGGAATGGACTTACTCTAATCATTCATCTGGGGGCTATGAAATTGAAGCCAAAGAACACTGGAATGGCAGGGGGATTCAGAAATTTGGGGGTGAAAAGTTTTTTTTGGAATGAAAATGATCAAGCACATTGATATTTTTTTTTTCCAAATGAAAATAGCTTTGTTCTTTTTATGTAGCTTTTTATATAGGTTTATATGTGTATGTACCCATGTGTGTAAGTTTACTTAATAATTTTCAACTTCTAAAGAGACATATACGAATGATAACCAGTCGCCATCAAGTCTATTCTGACTCATGCAACTCCATGTGTGTCAGAGTAGAATTGTGCTCCATAGGGTTTTCCTTTTTCTGTTTTTTTAAATTAATATTTCATTAGGTGTAAGGGAAAAGTTTACACAGCAAATTAGGTTCCCATTTAACAATTTCTACACAAATTATTCAGTGATGTTGCTAACATTTTTCACAATGTGTCATTATTCTCATTAATTCTGTTTTATATAGGTTTTTAATATTCACTGTAAAACAATTCAAATAATATAGAGAATATATAAAAAATACATTTAAAATCACCTGAAATCCCTGTATCCAAAGAGAACCATGGTTACCGTATTCGTTCAGACTTAGATATACTGATTTGAACTGACCTGAGATGAGCTGAAGACAGAAGTGTGGTGAGTAATACCACTGTCAGAAATGGGAAAGTGAGGAAGGCCAGATGGAAGGTGGCAGGACCCAGACTTCAAAATCAATCATATTTATCCAATTCTCTCCTGTGCTCGATCACTTGTACACATGCACACAATTATACATCCACACATTTTGGAATAGATTTTTGCACTTCTTTTTTTAGAATATATACCAATAAATTAAGCCTTATGAAAAAGTCCCACGGTTTCTGCTGTTTCTTGCTTACAGTGATTCTGTGCAGTATTATCTGTGTGACCTTGAGCATACTACCCTCTCTAAACCTGAAATTTCCTACCTATAAAACCAGGATCATAATAGGACCTATACTTGATGGAGTTTTGAAAGTATTATATGAGATGATATGTGTACATGACTACTAAAACAAGCTATCTGTACAGTACATCACGTAACACCAAGGAACTTATCTCCCCAAAATACAAATAAAGGTGCTAATAAAATTTTAAACAATGCTGATGTAAACAAATTAAGAAGGGATGAAAAACAGGAGGCTGTGTGTACAGTCATGCATTATTTAATGTCTACGATATGTTCTGTGAAATAGGACATTAGGTGATTCGGACATTGTGCAAACACCATATTATGGGTGAAGGTCCTTTCAGGCATTTGCTTCCAAAATAAGGAGGTTTCATCCATTTAAAAAATTTGCTGGGGCAAATAATCTCCCCTCTACAATTAGTTTGTCTAAGGTTTCAACAAATTCTTCTGCTGCCTTTGTATTAGCACTCACAAACTCACCACTCACTTTCACCTTATCCAGTGAAAAGTGTGCTTTGAAGTGCTTGAACCACGGAGAGCTAGCACTAAATTCGAAATCGTAGTCCAGTCTTGCTTTCTCTTTAAGAATCTGGAACAAGTTTCATGCCTTAGCAGTGACTGTCAACGTGCTGAGAGGGATTCGCTTTTGTGTTTGGTCCTCAATCCACGTCATTAGCAATTTCTTCATATCTGATATAGGTCCCTCTTGCATTTTCGTTAGCCTTGTAGCTTTCAGTAGAACCTATCCTTTAAGAGCCTGCAAAATTTTTTCTTTGTTTTTGAGGATAGCAGTGATTGTCAAGTGCAACATGCTTAAATCCGCTACACCCAGTTTCTGATCAGGATTTCTGAACTCTGTTATAACCTTATAGGAGCCACGGTCATATACGCGGTCGGACAATGCTTGAACAAACTTTATGTGGCGCATGACTGTATATGCATGTATGTGAGAAGGGGAGGAACAAAGGAGAAGAGAGGTGCCAATTGTGAAAAACAGAACTTAAAAAAGAGGTTTTCATATAAAAGAAAAAACCTTTAATGATTATTAAGCTCAATGACAGGCTAACTAAAGCAGAGAGGTCATGCCACTCCTTACAAGACCAAAGTGATGCCTTTTTACCTCAAAATTTATGTATTATATTGTGGTGATTTAATTTATGGAGTCCCTGGGAGGCTCAAACAATTAAGTGCTCAACTACTAGCCAAAAGGTTGGTGGTTCAAACCCACCCAGAGGCACCTAGGAAGACAGGCCCAGTGACCCGCTCCTGAAAGGTCACAGCCTTATAAACTCTATGGAGCAGTCCTATTCTGCACACACGGGTCACCATAAGTTGTAACAGATTCGATGACAACAACAACAGCAAAATTTATGACTAGAAAGAAAACTGAACTAGAAATCAAGGAATGCAATAAGTAAAAAAATTCAATTCTAAGGATATCTTTGCTAACTTGTGAGCTTGGTCAAGTCATTTTCTCCCCCTATGGAGGCTGAACAATTATCAGTACTATCTAACAGAAGTACAACATGAGCCACATACATAATTTAAAATTTTCTAGTAGCCATATTAAAAAAGTAAAAAAAAAAAAAAAAAAGGTAAATTAATTTTAACAATAGTTTATTTAAGCCAGTATCCAAAGTATTATCATATCAACATGTTTTTTTAAAAAAAAAAATTGCCGTCAAGTCAATTCTGACTCATAGCGACCCTATAAGACAGGGTAGAACCGCCCCATAGGGTTTCCAAAGAGTGCCTGGTGGATTCAAACTGCCAACCTCTTGGTTAGCAGCCATAGCTCTTAACCACTGTGCCACCAGGGTTTCCATATCAACATGTAATCAATATTTTTAAAATTGAGAGATTTTACATTTTTTTAAATAAGTCATCAAAATCCAGTGAATATTTTACACTCACAGCACATCTCTGGGTAGCCACAATTCAAGTGCTCCATAGCTACATCTGGCTAGTGGCTACGATATTGGACAGTACAGAACAGATGATTTAATCACTTATCACCTATTGATCACCTCTATATACCAGGCACTCTGCTAGGTGCTGGGGATACAGAAATAATTAAAACATATCCTGTCCTCACAAGGCCTATAATCTTATCCTCCAGCTTCCAAACTATAATTCTTCTGTGGCAAAATAAATAAATCCCTCACTTGGACTATTATGATCATAAGCACCTCTCTATTACAACATGGAAAATACTGTATTATAACTATTTGATTTTTTTAATCAGAGTCTACCATTAGATTGTGAGCTCGAGAATCTAGATGTTGTGTTACTTATTTCTGTGTAACTCTTAACATTCAGAATGTAGTATGTACAGTGGTTAAGAGCTTGGCTCTAAAGTCAGACTGCTTGGGTTCAAATCCTGGTTACAACAGGTCTAGCTGGGTGACATGAAGGCAGTTGCTTAACCATTCTTGGGCTGCAGTTTCCTCATCTGAATGGACACTAATGATATTTACTTCTCAGGGTTGGTTTGGGGATTAAATAAGACAGTAAGTGTAAAGAACTATAAACAGTACCTGGCACACAATACGTGCTTTATAAATATTACCGATTATTATTACATATTCAATAAATGATTGTTGAATGAATGAATTCTAATTTTCACTTGATGATATGTTGTATTGTAAAAGTCTTCAGTTTTACAACTTAAAGTCCTTTACTGGGGGAAGAAAAAAACACTAATTTTATTTTTATTGTTTTCCACTGACAAACTGAATCATCCAAAAATGGTTTCCACTTTGAATCCCCACTTAGTGATACACCAGGAAAGTAGGCAATAATAGAACTACAGAGGCTGAGGTTATGAACCAACCTACAATAACAAAGTACTATAATGTATATGGGGTCCTGGTGTGAAGTGGTTAAGCCTTTGGCTGCTAACCAAAAGGTCAGAAGTTTGAATCCACCGGCTGCTCATTGGAAACGCTATGGAGTAGTTCTACTCTGTCCTATCGGGTTGCTATGCATTGGAATCTACTCCATGGCAATGGGTTTTCTGATGTGTATAACAATAGGATCTATAGGTCTACAGAGGCTGTGGTAATGAACTAACCCAGCATAGGAAAGACTTATCAACAGCAAGAAGTTTCAAGAATAGGGCAGAGCTTTCAGAGAAAAAGTTTACTAAATTAAGAACAGAGTTTTAAGCACCAGCCAATATTTGCTGAATGAATTAATGAAAGAATGTGACATCAAGCTCTCAACAACAACAAAAAAAAAAGCTGTGAAGTCTTGTGGCTGTCACAGAGTCCAAATTCGGCATTCTGCTCAATTCAAACATTATTCATTCCATTATACTTACATACAATTCTGTGCATAACCATATGCTTGTCTAAGCTACAGAGGATATAAGGAAAAAGTATACATGGTCCCTGCCCTCAAGGAGCTTATAATTAATTTAGGAAATCAATATATACACATGAAATGCTGAACAACACAAGGGAGAGGGGTCTCACATGGTAGTTTACAATTAAATGGCAAAATAAGCTTTTACAAATCCCAGATGCTACAGAAGGGAATTCAAGTTCAAAGGAGAAGTAATTGTAGGCTAAATTACTCAGGAAAGGAGTCATAAATAGGGCAGGACCCAAGTTAGGCCTCAAAGCACAAGTATATATAGATGGGAG